AACCCCCGAGTATGTCTGGATGGCGTGTTTGGCATGGACTGTGTAACAATAATAATAGAGTTAATATAAGAGCCATGAGGGGAGGCAAGAATCAAATAACACTATTACTATTATTGCCAATAATATTAGAGCTCTGAGAATAAGAAGGTAATACATAAAATAATAAGAATTAGTTAATATTTGTAATGAGGGGAAGAAAGGAATCAAATAGCATTATTATCATTATTATCATTATTGGCATCACTATTGTCATTCTTATAGCCAATGGTATTAGAGCTGTGAGGATAAACAGGCAATACCTAAAATAATAACAATAATTAGAGTTCATATTAGAACCGTGGGTGGAGGCAGGAAGCAAATAACATTATTATAACTGCCAATATTAGAACCATAAGCAGGTAATACATAAAATAAGAACAATCAAAGCACTCCTGAGTATGTCTGGATGCTGTCTTCGGCACGCACAGTGTAATAATAGTAATAATAACAGTTAATATTAGGGTTGTGGGAGGAGGCAGGAATCAAATAACATCATTATTTTTGGCAATAATTGAGCAGGTAATACATAAAATAGTAATAATAATTAGAGTTAATATTAGAGCCGTGGGGGGAGGCAGGAATAAAATAACATTATCATTATTATCATTATTAGTATCATTATTATTAGTACTGCCAACAATATTAGAGCTATCAAGACAAGCAGATAATAGATATAAGGAGGAGGAGGAGGAGGGTTAATATTAGCGCCATGGGGAAGGCAGGAATCGATTATTATTATTATTATTATTATTATTATTATTATTATTATTATTGCCAATAGAGTTGTGAGGATAAGCAGGTAATACACAAAATAGTAATAATAAAAAGAGTGAATATTAGAACCGTGGGGAAGCAGGAATCAATAAACATTATCGTTATCAGTACAATAGAGTCTCACTTATCCAACATAAATGGTCTAGCTGGTTCTCAAGGTGTGGGTTCCCCAGATTTTTTGGCCTTCAACTCCCAGAAATCCTAACAGCTGGTAAACTGGCTGGGATTTCTGGGAGTTGTAGGCCAAAACACCTGAGGATGCACAGGTTGAGAACCACTAGGCTAACAGAACATTGGAAAGGTGAAAAGGTTGGATAATAAGGAGGGGTTAAAGAAAAGCCTGTTAAATGACACATTACATTATGATTTTACAAATTAAGCACCAAAACATGTTTTACAACAAATTTACAGAAAAAACAGTTCAATACACAGTAACGTTATGTTATATTACTGTGTTTATGAATTTAGCACCAAAACAAACAAGGGTTCTTTCTTTCTCCCACCCTGGACATTATTCTAGAGGTAAATGTACACTCCACTTCCCTCACCCGTGGATCCGGCCAGGAGGCAGACTGCTTTGGATAATACAGAACGTTGGATAAGTGAAAGTTGGATAAGCGAGACTCTATTGTATTATTATTAGAGTATTAGAGCTGTGAGGATAAGCAGGCAATACATAAAATAATAATTAGAGAGAATATTTGAGCCGAGGGGGGAAGCAGAAAACAAATAACATTATGATTAGTATCATTATTATTATTGCCAACAATAAGAGCCATGAAAGGCGGGTAACAAACAATAAACCACACACACACAATATTATTATATAATAATACATTTATTATACTACTAGCCGTCCCCTGCCACGTGTTGCTGTGGCCCACGTGGAGGTTGTGTGTGGGAGGTTTGGCCCAATTCTATCGTTGGTGGGGTTCAGAATGCTTTGTGATTGTACGTGAACTATAAATCCCACCAACTACAACTCCCGAATGTCAAGATTTTGTTTTCGCCAAACTCCACCAGTGTTCACATTTGGGCATATTGAGTATTTGTGTAGAGTTTGGTCCAGATCCATCATTGTTTGAGTCCACAGTGCTCTCTGAATGTAGGTGAACTACAACTCCAAAACCAAAGGACACTGCCCACCAAACCCTTCCCAGTATTTTCTGTTGGTCATAGGAGAACAGTTTGCCAAGTTTGGTTCAATTCCATAGTTGGTGGGGTTCAGAATGGTCTTTGACTGTAGATGAACTATAAATCCTAGCAACCTAGCAAATGACATTTTTTTTGAGTGAAGGACATACATTGGGTTGTTAGGTGTCTTGTGTCCAAATTTGGTGTCAATTCGTCTAGTGGTTTTTGAGTTCTGTTAATCCCACAAACGAACATTACATTTTTATTTATATAGATTATATATTATATAATAACTAATGTATATATACACATACAAAATAATAATARTGTTGTTGTAATATACATATAYACACACACACACCCCAAATAACTGTTTCAGATATAGATAGATAGATAGATAGATAGATAGATAGATAGATAGATAGATATAAAAATGTAATGTTCGTTTGTGGGATTAACAGAACTCAAAAACCACTGGACGAATTGACACAAAATTTGGACACCAGACACCTAACAACCCAGTGTATGTCCTTCACTCAAAAAAAAGTCATTTGGGAGTTGTAGTTGCCAGGATTTATAGTTCACATACAATCAAAGAGCATTCTGAACCCCACCAACAATGGAATTGAACCAAACTTGGCACACAGAACTCCCATGACCAACAGAAAATACTAGAAGGGTTTGGTGGGCCCTTTAGTTTTGGAGTTGTAGTTCACCTACATCCAGAGATCACTGTGGACTCAAACAATGATGGATCTGGACCAAACTTGCCACGAATACTCCATATGCCCAAATACGAACACAGATGGAGTTTGGGGGGAATAGACCTTGACATTTGGGAGTAGTAGTTGCTGGGATTTATAGTTCACCTACAATCAAAGAGCATTCTAAACCCCACCAATGTTAGAATTGGGCCAAACTTTCCACACAGAACTCCCATGACCAACAAAAAATACTGTGTTTTCTGATGGTCTTTGGCGACCCCTCTAACACCCTTTTATGACCTCTGCAGGGAACCCAACCCCCAGGTTGAGAAATGGTTCCTTATGGCCATCCAATCCAACTCCCTTCACAGGGCAAGAAAAAATAACCAAAGCCTTCTTGACAAAGAACTATCTACCATAGGTATAGATAGAAATGATTCACACACACACACACACCACATATATGAAAGATGTTGTATCCTAGATTTGAAAGGGACCCCTAAAGGACAATATGTTCCATGTTCCAGAGTAGGCAAACCAGACAATCTCTACATCAACATTGACAAAGAAACAAGAAGTAATACTGTTGACCGACAAGCATCAAGAAATTACAATGATTAGAAACCAACACTTTTGCATTACCATATATACTTGAGTATAAGCCGACCCGAATATAAGCCGAGGCACCTAATTTTATGACAAAAAACTGAGAAAACGGATTGACTCGAATATAAGCCGAGAGTGGGAAATGCAGCAGCTATTGGTAAATTGCAAAATAAAAATATATACCAATCAAATGACATTAATTGAGGAATCAGTGGGTTATATATATATTTTTTCTTTTCCAGATCAGCAGACTGGGCCACAGCAATGCGTGGCAGGGGACGGCTAGTATTATTATATAATAATAATAATACATTTATTATACTATTATTATACTGTATATATATACAGAAGACATTTCCATCTTGTCTTTACTAATAATATAATATAGTATATTGTATATACATATAATATTTATAATATTATAATGTAATACAATATAAAACTAGTAATAATAATTCAATATTATAATTATATATTTACATTACATGTAATATTACTAATAATATTACAATATAATTGTATGGTGCAATATAGTAATATATACTGATATTGTACTATGCTAATAATATAATATATTGCATGAAAATAGATATTGTAAGTCGCTCTGAGTCCCGTTCGGGGTGAGAAGGGCGGCATAGAAATGCCGTAAATAAATAAATATCCACATACCAAATAATGTTGTTATGCGGGTTTTTTCGGGCTATATGGTCATGTTCTAGAGCAGGGGTCCTCAAACTAAGGCCTGGGGGCCCTCCAAGGTCATTTACCCGGCCCTCGCTCAGGGTCAACCTAAGTCTGAAATGACTTGAAAGTACACAACAACAACAACAACACTCCTATCTCATCAGCCAAAAGCAGGCCCACACTTCCCACTGAAATACTAATAAGCTTATATTTGTTAACATTGTTCTTCATTTTAATTATTGTATTGTTTTTAAGTGTTTTTTGCACTACAAATAAGGTATGTGCAGTGTGCATAGGAATTCATTCATGCTTTTTTCAAATTATAATCCGGCCCTCCAGCAGTTTGAGGGACTGTGACCTGGCCCTCTGTTTAAAAGTTTATGGCCATGTTCTAGAGGCATTTCTCCTGACGTTTCGCCTGCATCTATGGCAAGCATCCTCAGAGGTGAGGTCTGCTGGAACTGGGAAAAAAGGGGTTTATATATCTGTGGAATGACCAGGGTGAGACAAAGGGCTTTTGTAAGTTGGGCTAGGTGTGAATCTTTCAGCTGACCACCTTGATTAGCATACAATGGGCTGACTGTGCCTGGAGCAAACTCTTCTTGAAAGGTGATTAGATGTCCCTGCCTGTTTTTCTCTCTGCTGTTTTTGCTGTTGCAATTTTAGAATTTTTTAATACTGGTAGCCAGATTTTGTTCATTTTCATGGTTTCTTCCTTTCTGTTGAAATTGTCCACATGTTTGTGGATTTCAATGGCTTCTCTGTGTAGTCTGACATGGTGGTTGGGAGAGTGGTCCAGCATTTTTGTGTTCTCTAGAACATGGCCATATAGCCCGAAAAAACCCACAAGAACTGAGTGATTCCAGGCATGAAAGCCTTCGACAATACAATGTTATGTATATAACATTATTTTGTAATACCATATATATATATATATATACACACACACACATCAAGTAACTGGTATATATATAGACACAACGATATAAGGTGGGGATGGAAAACAATAGCGTGGCGGGCAAAGAGGAGGCCTGGTCAGGAGGCGCTGGGCCTTCTTACCCTGGGGCTTGTCTCCGGGCTGGGCCTCGCCGCGGCCCTCTTCGGCGGCGGCGGCCTCGGCCTCCTCCTCCTCTCCGCCTCCGCTGCTCCCCGCTCCTCCTTCCTCGGAGGCCCCTTGGGCGCCGTTGACGCCACTGCCAGGCTGGGCTGAGGCCTGCTCTTCCGCGCTCGGCGCCGAGGCCTGCGCGGGGCCTCCTCCAGCCGTGGCCGCCTCCTCCTCGTCGGCCAGCAGCGCCTCCTCGTCCTCCTCCTCCTCCTCGTCCTCGTCTTCCTCCTCCTCCTCGTCGTCGTCGTCATTTTCGGCGCCTCCCGTTCCCAAGCGGGCCCTGCCGAGGCCTTGCCCGGCCGCCGCCGCCGCCGCTCCCCCGGCCTCGGCGCCGGCTTCTTCGGGGCCCGCGGCCAACATCTCGGCGTCCAAGGCTTCCTGGAGCCGCTGGGCCAGCTCCACCTTGAGGCCGCGCGAGTCCAGGCCCCGCCGCCCGAGCTCGGCCCGCAGCTCCGTCACCTTCAGCCGCTTCACGTCCATGGCGCGCGCGCTCCGCTGCGGGGGGAGGGAGCGAGGGAGGGGGGAAAGCGAGCCGAGCTCCGAGGGCTAATGCGCCTGCGCGGCTCTTCCCGCGGCACTGCGCCTGCGCGGCTTCCGCTTCTTGCGCTGCGTTGCCCTCTCTCGCCTATTCTCCCACTGCGCCTTTACGCATGCGTGGCCTGCTTTCTCCCACACCCGAAACCCTCCTCCGGGCTCTATTGCGCAGGCGCGTCAACGCTTTCCTCCTTCACCAACCCCAAGCTGAAACGCTGTACCATCACGCGCGCGCGATTTTCAGAGTCCACCACGACGCATGCGCTGTGGATCCCCTCGGCCTCCCTTGTTGGCCCCTATTCCCCTCGACGCTTAGCTCTTTGTTTGTACGCATGCGTGTTGCGCTTTCTGGAAAGCTGCGTTTACGTGCGCCGTTGTTGTCTTTTGGCGGGCAGCTAAGACGCTTAGGGCAGTTGTTACAAGAGATCTGATTGGTTGAAGCGAACCAATCGGAATGAAGGATTCATTGAACGGCTGTGGTTCAAAATGAGCCATGGCCCCCAGGCTTCTCATTGAAACAGAATAGACAATTAAGCTTTTTTTTTTTAACTATATCTAAATCGGGAAAGTATATAATATTTAAACAAGAAGAAAAAAAATATAGACATCTTAATACAGCTTATAAATAAATTCATTGAGCATCTCAACATTTTGCAAAATACCTTCTCTAAAATCACAACACACGTGATAATAAAATAGGTTGCTGTGAGTTTCCCGGATTGTCTGGCCATGTCCCAGAAGCATTCTCTCCTGACGTTTCTCCCACATCTATGGCAGGCATCCTCACATGTTGTGAGGTCTGTTGGAAACTAGACAAGTGGAGTTTATATATCTGTGGAATAATGTCCAGGGTGGGAGAAAGAATGTTGCAATTGGCCAGCTTGATTAGCATTTGAAGGCCTAGCAGTTTTCAAGGTCTGGCTTCTTACTGCCCGGGGGAATACTTTGTTGGGAGGTGATTAGCTGGCCCTGATTGTTTCTTGTCTGGAGCTCCCCTGTCTAGCCTCGTTCATCAGGTGCCCTCTTACTCTTGTGGCTTGTTTTTGGTGTTGCAGCTCTTCTGATGTCTCTGGGGGGAGTATCCATTGGCCTATAAAGGCCAATTTACACCCAAACATCCAATTCACCATGGAAAAAGAAATGAAGGAAAACTGCCATGTCTAGATGTCCTAGTCATCTTCCAACACTAGGATTATATAATTCCGAGGCTGGATGGCTATCTGTCAAGAGGGCTTTGAATGTGCTTTTTCTTGCATGGAACAGAGTTGACTTCACTTCACTTTATTTCTTAATTAGTCGCTCTCCATCAAAGTGCTCCGAGTGACTTACAGTCTAAAATAGCATTTACACAATATAAAAACATTCAACATAAAAACATTCAACAGTGACTATTTGGCATATTAGATCTGATTACTTAAATGCACAACCGAACAGTCAAGTCTTGAGCGCCTTTACTAAAGGTCGCAACTCCGACATTGCTCTCATGTATGGAGGCAATGAGTTCCACAGAATTGGAGCATAGGTCGAAAAAGCTCTACGCCTTCCAGGTGTCCCTCCCTAGGGCCCGGTATGTAGAGGAGATTTTCCTGGGTGGATCGAGGTGACCACTGATGGAGAAAAGGAATGAGGCGGTCCCTAAGATATAAAGGTCCTTGGCCATTTTGAGCTCTAAATGTCAGGATCAGTATCTTGTAAGAGATCCAATGTTCTATTGGTAGCCAATGCAGTTGTTGCAGAATCAGTGTAATATGGGATCTCATAGATGATCCCGCTAGCAGCCTGGCCGCTGCATTTTGGACCATCCGAGTTGAACTGGATGGTTTCTTCCTACACTAGGATTCAATGATTCCGAGGCTGGATGGCCATCTGTCAGGAAGGCTTCAAATGTGCTTTTTCTGCATGAAACAGGGTTGAACTGGATGGCCCTTGTGAAGTCGATAGGAACTTTAGAAGGGTCTACCCCAGGAGGAGAGACCCTGCGGCCCCACCATTGGTGAGCAAAGAGAAGCCTAATGTTAAGCAATTTATTTTCCCTAAGTTCCCAAAAAGAATCTCACCAAAGTTGAAGAAAGTGCCACCGAGGTTTATTAGCGATTCAGCTTTTTTATTTGTCGTGTCAGGAGCAACCGCTCCTGTTGTGAGAGAATTGGCCGTCTGCAAGGACGTTGCCCAGGGAACCCCTGGATGATTTTTTGATGTTTTATCATCCTTGTGGGAGGCTTCTCTCATGTCCCCGCATGAGGAGCTGGAGCTAATAGAGGGAGCTCATCCGCCTCTCCCCGGATTCGAACCTGCGACCTGTCGGTCTTCAGTCCTGCCGGCACAGTGCTTTAACCCACTGCACCGCCGGGGTCTCCATTTTAGCGATTCAGCTGAAAAGGATGCAAAGCAGCAATCGTTCGCCAAGCTAAGCATGAAGTTACACAAATAAATGCCATTTTTATAGAAAATACAGAGTTGTGTGGTTCAAATCTCCCGCTCCCCCCTCTCGCCCAGCTCGAAGGGGTTTGGCTGACGTGCAAACAGCTGGGAGGAGGCTTGGCCATCCCCCATGCGTCAGGGCCAATCACAGGGCTTCCGCGGTGCGCCAGAGCCAATCAGGAGGCTCCTGCCGCCTCTGCACTCCAGCGAATCAGAAGAGAGGGGGTCGGGACGAAGGAATATACTGCATTCTTGAATGGATTATGGCTTTAATGTCCAGGAGGCTTAACGAGTCCAGAATCAGCCTGCCAGAAAAGCCAAACTCATTGTCTTGAGATTGGTCTGAGATAAGCATTGATTACTTAATCCGAGTTTTCCTCTTGCGATCAGACATTCACCAGTCACAAAGGGGGTGACTGGTGAATGTCTTCAGTGGAAAGGTTTGAAAGAAAAACTGGTTGGGGGGAAAAGGGCTTTCCGAAGGTCATTCCCCCCCCCCCCCCATTGTTATATGATTAAAAAGTCTGCCAAGCAAACTTCGTCTTGATGGCCCGACTCCGAAGTCAAGAAAGATAATTCTTTGTATTTTCCATGCAAGTAAGGTTCTAAGATAAGGGTCTTCACAATCACTAATTGCTGTTTCCAGAGGCAGGGCAGCTTCCTTATACATTTTCCTCAAGGAGAGGGGCAAGGTCAAGTACATGAAGGGAAATATAGAAATACAGGAGAAAATATGAAAATATAGAAATCATAATACAGAGAGTAAACCCAACTACCTTCCCCCAGTGTCCATAGTTCATATTATTCATAGGAAGGTCCATAAAGGGAAATATATCCATGGGGGGGAGGGGAAAGAGAGTCCCTTGTTTGTGAGATGGGGGACCATCAGGAGCCCAGGTGTGTCTCAGATGGAAAAAGTCAAATACTTTTGTGGCATGATTTTCAGTAATAAATTGGTTACCTTCTGCTATAAACATATGAAAATAGGGCATAAAGCCTTGATTAAATGATACACACCAAATTGACCAAGGCTTAACCCTTATTATCCAGTCTGGTGTCCTTGCCCTTAGCAAAACTATAAGTTACTATCTCTAATGGGGGCGGGGTCATGTTCAACTTCACTTGGGGTCTCTTCCAACACTAGGATTCTATGATTCCGAGGCTGGATGGCCATCTGTCAGGAAGGCTTCGAATGTGCTTTTCCTGCATGAAACAGGGTTGAACTGGATGGCCCTTGCGGTCTCTTCCAACACTAGTATTCTATGATTCCGAGGCTGGGTGGCCATCTGTCAGGAGGGCTTTGAATGTGCTTTTTCTGCATAGAACAGGGTTGAACTGGATGGCCCTTGGGGTCTCTTCCAACACTAGGATTCTATGATTCCAAGGCTGGGTGGCCATCTGTCAGGAAGGCTTCGAATGTGCTTTTCCTGCATGATACAGGGTTGAACTGGGTGGTCCTTGGGGTCTCTTCCAACACTAGTATTCTATGATTCCGAGGCTGGGTGGCCATCTGTCAGGAGGGCTTTGAATGTGTCCTACTGTCTGACAAATAGGGGTTGAACTGGATGGAAATCCAAATGTAGGATTCTATAATATAATATTCAAGTTTGTGTGTGTGTGTAAAAGTCACCATATATATATGGTGACTTTTGGGACACCCAATACATGCTTTACTATTGTGCTTAAACAAGTGAAGCCATGTGCAGTTAACCAGTTTCCCATCGGGCGGAGCTCTTGGTCCATAGATAAACCTCATAAGTCAGCAAACTCACTTTCCCTCTATGCTGGGTAAAATGGAAGGGAGTCACAAAACAACTCTTGGTTTTCTTTGCCATAGAAAACGATATGAAATGCATGGGTTTGCTACGAGCCCTTGAAGCCATGCGCATGTGCCTTCATGCCACACAGACCAGCTCATACAAAAGGAAAGGTCTATGGGTTGCCTGCCGGAAACTGGAATCTATGGTCCAGCCCCTTGTTTCCAGGACAGCCTGCCTTCCTTCCCTAAATGCAGCTGAGCTCCAGAGCAGCCTCCTGAAGAAGGTAAGAGCCTCCCCCTGAATGATCTTATACACAATGCACATAAACTTAAATGCCGTTTGGCCTTAAGTTTCTGCTGACACAATGTTTGCTTTTCACAAAGGAGAAAGGCAAATTTTATTTATTTATCGTGTCAGCAGCAACCAGACATTTGTATTACATTTTTAACAAAACAAACAAACAAACAGACAAAACACAAAGTTTGCAAGCTTGGTAGTTGATTAAATGTCCTTTGACCAGTATCTGGCCACTTGGAGTACCTCTGGTGTTGGCGCAAGAAGGTCCTCCATTGTGCATGTGGCAGGGCTCAGGTTGCATTGCAGCAGGTGGTCAGTGGTTGGCTCTTCTCCACACTCGCATGTCGTGGATTCCACTTTGTAGCCCCATTTCTTAAGGTTGGCTCTGCATCTCGTGGTGCCAGAGCACAGTCTGTTCAGTGCCTTCCAAGTCGCCCAGTCCTCTGTGTGCCCAGGGGGGAGTCTCTCATTTGGTATCAGCCATTGATTGAGGTTCTGGGTTTGAGCCTGCCACTTTTGGACTCTCGCTTCCTGAGGTGTTCCAGCGAGTGTCTCTGTAGATCTTAGAAAACTATGTCTTGATTTAAGGCGTTGATGTGCTGGCTGATACCCAAACAAGGGATGAACTGGAGATATCATTGCCTTGGATGTCAGGTGGTGCAATACCGGCTAAACAGTGTAATTTCTCCAGTTGTGTAGGGCGCAGACACCCCATGTCTCATTAAGAGCCACATCCACTGTTTTAGTGTGGTGAGATGTGTTCCACACTGGGCATGCATACTCAGCAACAGAGTAGCATAGCGCAAGGGATGATGTCTTCACTGTGTCTGGTTGTGATCCCCAGGTTGTGCCAGTTAGCTTTCGTATGATATTGTTTCTAGCACCCACCTTTTGCTTGATATTCAGGCAGTGCTTCTTGTACGTCAGAGCACGGTCCAGAGTGACTCCCAGGTATTTGGGTGCGCTTGCAATGCTCCAGTGGGATTTCTTCCCAGGTCATCCTCAGAGCTCGGGATGCTTGTCTGTTCTTAAGGTGAAAGGCACATGTCTGTGTTTTAGATGGGTTGGGGATCAGCTGGTTTTCCCTGTAATAGGCAGTAAGAGCACCTAGAGCTTCGGAGAGCTTCTGTTCAACCATCTCAAAGCTCCCTGCTTGAGCGGTGATGGCACGATCATCAGCATAGATGAAACTCTCTGTCCCTTCTGGCATTTGTGTAGATGTTGAACATGGATGGATCCATGTTCAAGAAAGGTAATTGTAAAGGTAAGACAGCATTAACATTTAATTCCCCATAGCCACTAAATTGTTCCCACTTTGGGATGGATTTAAATTACTGTATCTTAATTACCGTAAGATACAGTAATTTAAATCCATCCCAAAGCATAAGCCGACCCAAATATAAGCCGAGGTATCTGATTGTGCAACAAAAAACTGGGAAAACTTATTGACCTGAGTATAAGCTAAGGGTGGGAAATGCAGCAGCTACGGACGGGTAACTTTCAAAATAAAAATAGAAACCAATAAAATTACACTAATTGAAGAAACAGTAGGTTAAATGTTTTTCACTGTTTACATAAAACTGTAATTTAAAATAATCCTGACCAACTTTGATTAAAAATTATTCTAACCTGTTTCAGCGTAAATGTGCTTACGTATCCTTCCAATAATATAGAGTAAAATAATAAATGTAATAATAACAATAATAAAGTAAAATAATAAATGTAATAATAATAATAACAGAGTAAAATAAATGTAATAAAATAATAACAGAGTAAAATAATGTAAATGTAATAATACCAATAATAGAGTAAAATAATAAATGTAATAATAATAGAGTAAAATAAATGTAATAAARTAATAATAGAGTGAAATAWTGTAAATGTAATAATACTGATAATAAAGTAAAATAATAAATRTAATAAAATAATACTAATAACAGAGTAAAATAATAAATWACTTTGACTCGAKTATAAGCCGAGGGGAGATTTTTCAACCTAAAAAAGGGGCTGAAAAACTAGGCTTATACTCGAGTAAATACAGTATTTTTTTCTCATAGCAAACCATACTTTCTGTTGCATTCCCTCCTAGTGGAAAGGTTTAATACTTGCAGTGGACTTGCTCCAGGATAAGTACATCCGCACTGAGGATTGCACAACTTTGGATCTACACTGCCATAGAATGCAGTTTGAACTATCATATGGTCAACGAAGACTCATATCATGCAGTTTTAACTATTATGTAGCCAACAAAGACTCATATGCAGTTTGACTATTATATGGTCAGTGTAGACACATAGAATGCAGTTGGAATGATTATATAGTCAACCAAGACTCATATAATGTAGCTTGGTCAATGAAGACATATATAATGCAGTTAGAACTATTATATGGTCCAGAAGACTCATAGAATGCAGTTTGAACTGCTGTATAGTCAACAAAGACTCATATCATGCGATTAAAATTATTATATGGTGAACAAAGACTCATATAATGCAGCTTGAACTGTTATATGGTCAACAAAGACTCATACAGTGTGAATTATTATATGGTCAGCGAAGACCCATAGAATGTTGTTTGAACTATTATGGTATATGCTCAGTGTAACCCATGGAATGCAGTTTGAACTGTTATATGTTCAGTGTGGACTGACAGAATGCAGCTTGAACTATAATATGGTCAGTGTAGAGTAGATCGATCGAATGCAGTTTGAAATATTATATGGTAATTGTAGAAGATCCATAGAATGCAGTTTGAGCTGTTGTATGGTCAGGGTAGACCCATATAATTATAACTTTTCATGTGTATATATATATATATAGAGAGAGAGAGAGAGAGAGAGAGAGAGAGAGAGATGTGGGGGAGGCAGGAATGAAATAACATAATAACTATAATTATAATTATTATTGCCAATAGTATTAGAGCCGTGAGGATAACCAGGTAATACATAAAATAATAATAAGAATTGGAGTTAATATTAGAGCCATGGGGGAAGCCAGGAATCAAATAACATTATTAATATAATTGTTAGCTTCATTATTATTATTATTGCCAATAATATTAGAGCTGTGTGGATAAGCAGGTAATACCTAAAATGATAATATTTAGAGTTAATATTAGAGCCAGGGGAGGGAGCCAGGAAGCCAATAATATAACTACTAGAATCATAGTATCAAAGAGTTGGAAGAGACCTCATGGACCATCCAGTCCAACCCCCTGCAGGAACATTCAAATCACCCCATCCAGCCTCTATTTAAAAGCTTCCAAAGAAGAAGCCTCCAAAGAAGAGAGTTCCACTGCTGAACGGCTCTCACAGTCAGGAAGTTCTTCCTCATGTTCAGATGGAATCTCCTCTCTTGTAGTTTGAAGCCATTGTTCTGCGTCCTAGTCTCCAAGGAAGCAGAAAACAAGCTTGCTCCCTCCTCCCTGTGGCTTCCTTTCACGTATTTATACATGGCTATCATATCTCCTCTCAGCCTTCTCTTCTTCAGGTTAAACATGCCCAGCTCCTTAAACTGCTCCTCATAGGGCTTGTTCTCCAGACCCTTGATCATTTTAGTCGCTCTCCTCTGGACACATTCCAGCTTGTCAATATCTCTCTTGAATTGTGGTGCCCAGAATTTAACACAATATTCCAGGTGTGGTCTAACCAAAGCGGAATAGAGGGGTTTTATTATTTATTTAATTCATTTATATACCGCTTTTCTCGGCCCTTAGGTGACTCAAAGCAGTTAACAACAGCAAAAATTCAATGCTAAACATCATAAAAACAATTAAGGGACAGTTAAAACAGTAGCATAATAAGCAATTAAGCATCAATATAGCATTACTTCCCTAGATCTAGACACTATGCTCCTATTGATGCAGGCCAAAATCCCATTGGCTTTTTTTGCCACCACATCACATTGTTGGCTCATGTTTAACTTGTTGTCCACGAGGACTCCAAGATCTTTTTCACACGTACTGCTCTCGAGCCAGGCATTGTCCCCCATTCTGTATCTTTGCATTTCGTTTTTTCTGCCTAAGTGGAGTATCTTGCATTTGTCCCTGTTGAACTTCATTTTGTTAGTTTTGGCCCATCTCTCTAATCTGTCAAGATCGTTTTGAATCCTGCTCCTGTCCTCTGGAGTATTGGCTATCCCTCCCAATTTGGTGTCATCTGCAAACTTGATGATCCTGCCTTCTAGCCCTTCATCTAAGTCAGGGGTCCTCAAACTTTTTAAACAGAGGGCCAGGTCACAGTCCCTCAAACTGTTGGAGGGCCGGATTATAATTTGAAAAACATGAATGAATTCCTATGCACACTGCACATATCTCATTTGTAGTGCAAGGAGCACTTAAAAACAATACAATAATTAAAATGAGGAGCAATCCTAACAAATATAAACTTATTAGTATTTCAATGGAAAGTGTGGGCCTGCTTTTGGCTGATAAGATAGGATTGTTGTTGTTGTTGTTGTGTGCTTTCAAGTCGTTTCAGACTTGGAGGGCTGCATTCGGCCCCCGGGCCTTAGTTTGAGGACCCCTGATCTAAGTCATTGATAAAGATGTTCAACAGGACCGGGCACAGGACGGAACCCTGTGGCACTCCACTTGTCACTTCTTTCCAAGATGAAGGGAAAGCATTGGTGAGTACCCTCTGGGTTCGTCCATTTAACCAATTACTGATCCACCTCACCGTAGTTTTGCCTAGCCCACATTGGACTAGTTTCCTTGCCAGAAGGTCATGGGGGACCTTGTCGAAGGCCTTCCTGAAATCCAGGTACGCTCCATCCACGGCATTCCCCGCATCTACCCAGCTTGTAGCTCTATCGAAGAAAGAGATCAGATGAGTCTGGCATGACTTGTTTTTGATCAATCCATGTTGACTATTAGCGATGACCGCATTTGTTTCTAAGTGTTTGCAGACCGCTTCCTTAACAATCTTTTCCAGAATCTTGCCCTGTATCGACGTGAGGTTGACCGGACGGTAGTTGTTTGGGTCATCCTTTTTTCCCTTCTTGAAGATTGGGAGCACATTGGCCCTCCTCAAATCTGCTGGAACTTCTCCCGTTCTCCAAGAACTCTCAAAGATGATTGCCAATGGTTCCGAAATGACTTCCGCTAGTTCCTTCAATACTCTTGGGTGTAGTTGAGCTAGCCCTGGGGACTTGAACTCATTTAGAGCGGCCAGGTATTCCTGGACGACTTGTTTCCCAATTTGGGGTTGGATGTCCTCTAATCCCTCATCCACTCCATCTTGCTGAGGTTGAAGATGACTTTCTTTTTGTGAGAAGACTGAGGCAAAGAAGGCATTAAGTAGTTCTGCCTTTTCCCTATCCCCTGTCAGCATTGCCCCATCTTCTCCTCGAAGAGGCTCTGCCAATAATGTTAGAGTTGTCAGTATAAGCAGGATATACATAAAATAAGCACAATCAAAGCAGCCTAAGAATGACTGGATGGTGTCTTTGGCATCATGCACAGTGTAATAATAATAATCATCATCATCATCATCATCATCATCGAGTTAATATTAGAGCCGTGGGGGGAGGCAGGAATGAAATAACATATTTCACACACACTGTTATAGTAGAACCTGTAAGTAACGTTGTAAGCAGTAGTATGAGTGCCAGAAGGGGGAAAAGGGGTACTCGGGAGCAGGAGTCAGATGAGGAACAACAAGGCACCTACCGATGAAGACTCATTCGAAGGGTTCTCGGGGGATGAAGTGTCAATGAGTGAGGGAGAGGAAGGAGATGCAATGGATGGGAATAGGGGAACAAAGAGGGTTACTTGGGAGCAGGAATCGGATGAGGAGCGACAGAAGAAGAGGATCTGGGATATACTTACCGCTTCCACAGATAAAGAATCATTTGTGGGTTTCTCTGGGAGTGATGGGTCAGGGAGTGATGAAGATGGGAATGAGACATTGGACTGGACTAAGGTAAAAGAGGTACAAACTGTATGTGCGGAGCCGATGTCTAGTGATACATTTGTAGGACTGGCAATCGGGGAATACATTTGAGTCTTGGGGGGATCTAAGTATTGACAGAAGATGGAGAAGTTGGAGAGATGGGAGTAGGGATTCACTTGTGGAATCAAGAACAGCTGTAAGGGATAACGATGGGGCGGAGGTCTGCTCATCTTCTGATGATGATGTGTAAGATAAAAGTAGGCTCTGGAATGGGGAATTTTTTCAGAAGGTAAGGTGTTGTTTTACGTTCGTGCAATGGGTACTTGTCGCTACCTGTTTCATGTCGGCATTGGGTCCTGGATCTACAGGTTTCCACTTCTGTTCGTGTGTGCTTCGACTCGGTTTGGATTCTCGTGAGTGCGGATTCCCCCCTTCCTTGACTTCGGACCAGTTTGACTACGACGCTGCCTACGTGGACTTTGGAACTTTGCTACTTTGGATTTGGCTTTCTACGACCTCAGACTTCGTTTGACCATGCTTTCCTCTTTGCGGCTCATTTGTTTGTTAACTATTTACTTGCTGTGCTATTTTGTATGACTTTCGGAGTGCTTTGTTTTAATCCGGTTCTTTTCTCTGGATAATCCGGATTATTACTTTTGTTACCGTTTTGAACCAGGACTGGTTTTCTCTTTTGAGTTTTGGCCAGAGGCACTGAGTTGAGTGTCTCTGAGTCCTTTTCCTTTGATTAATAAACTCTATTTTGGAACCAACCCTGAGTCTGGCCCTTTAAGGCGTCTGTGTCCCGACACACATACAAATATAGCATACATGTTTTCGTTTATTTTACACACACACATATATGTGTGTGTGTGTGTGTGTGTATTCTCTTCCAACTTCCAAACAAAGTCTTATTTGGTTTATTTACTTCCCTTCCAGGCTTCCCCAGAAGCATACATGGAGGTGCAGCTACAACAGGCCCGAGCGTTCAAGGAGGAAGGCAACCGCTATTACAAAGAAGGGCGTTTCCGAGATGCTGTGAGCCGCTACCACTGGGCTTTGCTGCAGGTGAAAGGGCTGGATCCCAGTATCCCTTCTCCTTTGCAGGCCTTTGGTGCAGAGAGAGCATCCATGACTTCTGCACAGGAGATCCTCCTCTTTAGCATCCAAAGTGACTGCTATAACAATTTGGCTGGTATGTTTGTGGGGAGCATTGCCAGGATTTAATTTGCACTTGGGTTCAGACCAGAAGCTTATTTCGTACATCATAATAGTCCTACAATGGCTAAGTGTATTGTCGAAGGCTTTCATGGCCGGCATCACTGGGTTGTTGTGTGTTTTCTGAGCTGTATGGCCATGTTCCAGAAGCATTATCTCCTTACCGCCTTGGGGAATCCTTTGTTGGGAGGTAATTAGCTAGCCCTGATGGTTTCTTGTCTGGAATTCCCCTGTTTTTGAGTGTTGTTCTTTATTTACTGTTAGGATTTTAGAGGGTTTTTTTAAATACGGGTGGCCATTGAAATTCACAAGCATGTGGACAATTTCAACAGAAAGGAAAAAACCATGAAAATGAACAAAACCTGGCTTTTGATCTACCCACTCCATTTCTGAGTCTGTTCAGGGACTTCTAAGTTGTCCATTCTTGGTTTGCCCCTGGAGGCAGACCTTTGTTCAGGGCCATCCAGTTGGGATTTCCTGGTTTACCTGCCCAGAGGAATACCCTTGCTGTTGCTGGGGGAATGTTAAGAGGAATTGTTCTTCTCATGAAGCTGTTCCTTGATTTGAGTCTACTGGGAGGAGGCTGGTAGCCATGCAGTGGGTGGCTTTCACAGTGTTCAATTAAAATTCATGCGCCAACTGCGACCTTACCTCGTGAAGTCTGACTTGACCATGGTGGTCCATGCCTTAGTTACCTCTAGACTGGATTACTGTAATGCACTCTATGTGGGGCTACCCTTGAAGATGGCCCGGAAATTACAACTTGTCCAACATTCAGCAGGCAGATTAATAACTGGGGCGACTTATAGGGAGTGGTCAACCCCCCCCCCCCCCCCCCCCGTTTAAGGAGCTCCACTGGCCGCCGTTTATTTTCTGGTCCCAATTCAAGGTGCAGGTCATCACCTACAAAGTCCTAAACGGTTTGGGACCCACCTACCTTCGTGACCGTATCATCCGCCATGAACCATCTTGGGCCCTCCGATCCTCTGGGGAGGCCCCTGTTTTCGCCACTGCCAGTGTCACAAGCTCGCCTGGTAAGTACAAGGCAGAGAGCCTTTTCCAACTCTGGAACTCACTGCCTGGAGAAATTAGGAAAGCCCCTTCTCTAGAAGTTTTTAAGAAGAACCTTAAAACCTGGCTCTTCCACTGTGCCTTTGATGAGTAGGTATACAATTTCACATGACTATTTAGCTTAAAGTTCTGTCATTGGAGTAGACGTCTCCCCCCCCCCCCTTGTGGGAAAGCTTGACTCCACAACCCCTGCCATAATGAGTACTACTCCGCATATTATCTGCTTCTCTCTTTTATTTTGTCTGAGTTTTTAATGAGTTTTAATTAGTTTGTTTTTTAATCATTGTCTCTGTGCCTGTGTCTATTGTAATTCTTATATTGTTATGTATTCATATGTTCTATGTAATTATTATGTTGTTTATTGTTTGCGTTTTCGATTGTGTTTTGGTTTTCTTTATTGTAATTGTTGTTCGGGCCTGGCCCCATGTAAGCCGCTCCGAGTCCCCATTGGGGAGATGGTGGCAGGGTACAAATAAAGTTTATTATTTATTATTATTATTATTTCTCCCACAGTTAGCAGCAACTTCCCATCACATATGGGGGGGGGGGGTAATGCCAGCTAGCTTATAGAGTTTATCAACAGGTGAAGGTTTGAGACATCCTGTGATTATTCTGCATGTTTCATTTAATGAGAGTTTATCAACAGGTGAAGGTTTGAGACATCCTGTGAATATTCTACATGTTTTGTGTGGGCAGACTTGTGCCAAACAAGGCAGGCATACTCGGCAGTTTAGTAAAACAAGGCCAGGGCTGATGTTCTTATTAATTTTGGGTCTGCAGCCCATGCGCTGCCAGTAATTTTCCACAGGATGTTATTGTGTGCAGCTACTTTGTGCTTGATGTTCATACAATGTTTCCTAAATGTTAGTGTTTGATCTAAGGTGACACCGAGATTTTTAGGGTGGGAACAGTGTTCGAGCTCTTGGCCTTCCCAGGTAACTTTCAATTTCCTGTTGGCTTCATGGTTGCATAGGTGGAAAGCACACACTTGTGTCTTAGCAGGGTTAGGCTTTAGGTTATCTTTCTAGTTGCTGAAGAGATCCTTCAGAGCATTAGTAAGTTTTTAACTGTTTCAAAGTCTTTTGCTTGTGTTGTTGTTATCGAGGAAGAATTTAGGTGTCTTTGCCAGGAGGCAGAGAGCTATCAGAATAATCAAAGAGTTCGTTGCCCTGGCGAGACAGTAGAAGCACCCAATATTTTCCCTGATTTTTCCCAATAAAAGGTCTCACCAAGTTAAAGAAAAGCCACTGAGTTGTTTATTGTGATCCAGCTGGAAAGGATACAAAGCCGCGATATTTCGTCAGGCAAGCATCCAGAGAACAAAAAATAAAGCCTTTATATGCATAAAACAGAGCTGTCTGATTGGTTGGCGCTCTACAGCTGGGAGGAGGCTTGGCCGCCCCCTGAGCGCTTAACCAATAGGTGAGCTCATGCCACTTCGGCCTCTTGGCCAATCAGGAGAGAAGGAGGCAGGACGAGAGGGAAACAATGAGAACTGGAGTAGATTATGGAAATATGTGGTGTCCATGTGGTCGGCAAGTCCTCAGGGGGCCTTCTAGCCAGCCAGCCTATTGTCTTTGATAGGTGGCAATAAACGTTGATGTCTGGCGAGGTGGTCAGGATCTGGCTTTTTCTTGAACTGAGATATGGAGACAATGGGGTAATCCTGGCTGTAGTTTTGGTGGATGGAAGATAACTGAGAGAACAGATCAGGACAAATTGTGGCTTTCCTAAGGCCTTTTTGTCCTGTTGAGATATGATCATCACTGCCAAGTGGGCACCATCCGCTGGGGGGACCGACTCCGAGCCCCAGGGTGGCTTCCCATTGTATAGTTCATGCAAATAAGTCTTTTGATAAGATTCTTTTCAACAGAGGATTTCCTTCTTTCAATGGTCACAGAGAGTGGCTTCTTACATTTTTATACATTTTTTAATAAAAGGGAATAAGGCAGAAGGGTCAAGTAAGGCTCAAGTATACAGGGAGAAATATAGAAACCATAGTGTAGAAAATATACCCACTTATCCCTCCCACCAAAGTCCCATAGAGAAATTGATAAGAGCCTCGATCATGGCTCAGTATGTGTCCATGGTTCATAATATTTATAGGAAGGTCCATAGAAGAAAATGTGTCCATAATGGGAGAGTCCTCCATGTGGGGCAAAAGAGTCCTTCAGAAGGGAAAAAAGTCCCATAGAAGTTCAAGAGAGCTCATAAGTGTAAAGGGAGGTGGTTTCTCAGTAATAAATGTGTTACCTTCTGCTATAAATATATGAAAATAGGGCATAAAAACCTTGATTAAATGATACTATCTAACATGGGAAGGGTCCTTGTTGCTGCTGTTAGTGTCTTGGCAAATTGACCAAGGCTTAACCCTTATTATCCAGTCTGGTGTCCTTGTCCTTAGCAAAACTATAAGTTACTATCTTTTATTTGGGGGGGGGGGGGAGTCATGTTCAACTTCACCGACAGATGGCTATGCTTAAAAACCTCCAGAAATTGAGACACCACTGGACTCCAAGTAAGCCACATATTCCACTGTCACACAGTTCTGTCAGGAATTTCTCCTTAAAGTTTAGGTGGAATCTCTAGTTGTTCCTAAGTAATTATGTGAGACGTAGGTTGCTATGAGTTTTCAGGCTGTGTGGGCATGTTCCAGAAGCATTCTCTCCTGACGTTTCACCCACATCTATGGCAGGCATCCTCAGAGGTTGTGAGGCCTGTCGGAAACTAGGCAAGGGAGACTTATATATCTGTGGAATAACGTCCAGGGTGGGGGAAACAAATCTTGGCTGGTGGAGGCAAGTGTGAATGTTGCAATTGGCCACCTTGATTAGTGTTGAATAGTCTTGCAGTTTCAAAGCCTGGCTGATTCCTGTCCGAGGGAATTCTTTGTTGGGATGTGTTAACTGGCCCTGATTGTTTCATGTCTGAAATTCCTCTTTTAAATACTGGTAGCCAAATTTTGTTCATTTTCATAGTTTCCTCCTTTCTGTTGAAATTGTCCACCTGCTTCTTGTGGATCTCAATGGTTTCTCTGTGTAGTCTGACATGGTGGTTGTTGGAATGATCCAGCATTTCCCTTTTGGGAATTCCACGCAGGAAACAATCAGGGCTCGCTAACACCTCCAAAAAATATATATAAATAAGGATTCTCCCCATACAGGAAGCAGCCAGGCTTTGATGCTGAAAGGCCATTCAATGCTAATCAAGGTGGCCAATTGCAATATTCACACTTGCCTCCAACAGACAAGAGTTATTTCTCCCACCCTGGACATTATTCCACAGGTATATAAACCCACTTGCCCAGTTTCCAACAGACCTCACAACCTCTGGGGATGCCTGCCATAGATGTGGGCAAAATGTCAGGAGAGAATGCTTCTGGAACAGGCCCAGAAAACTCACAACAACCCAGTGAAAACCTTTGACAACACGTAGCGATCTTGTGCTTTTTGTGTCTCTGTAGCCTGTCTCCTTCAGATGCAACATGTCAACTACGAGCGAGTGAAAGAGTACAGCCTCAAAGTCCTGGAAAAACAGCCGGAAAATGTGAAAGGGTTGTATCGTGCCGGAGTGGCTTTCTACCATTTGCAGGATTATGACCGGGCACGGCAGTATCTCCTGGCAGCAATGAGTAAGCAGCCCAAAGGTGAGAGAGATGCTGGACTTCTCTGCAATTGTTTTGCCCATGATTGATTGACTGACTGATTGATTGATTGATTTTTATCCCGCTTTTCTCCCATGGGTGGGACTCAAAGTGCTTTCTGGATGTAGGTGAACTACACCTCCCCCAAAACAAGGTGATTTCCCCCAAAAATACCTCCAGTATTTTTTGCTGGTCATGGGGGCTGTGTTTGCCAAATTTGATCCAATGCCATCTTTGGTGTTCGGAGTGCTCATTGATTGCAGGTGAACTATAAATCCCAGTTCTTACAACTCCAAAGTGCCCAGGCCAATTCCCCTCCAAACCCACCAGTATTCAAATTGGGACATAGTGGGTATTGTGCTGACACGCGCTGATCCTATAGCAAATGTCTTTTAAACAGGGTGTGCTCTTTGTGCCCAGCGGGATGCCGGGGTGCCTCGGCTAAGAGGCCCTATGGATTTTCCTAAACAAAGTCTTTATTATTGCTTAGATCTTCAACAAAACACACAAATTCTTCTTAATCTGCCCACAAAGCACAGGCAGCTTGCTTCGTGAACTATTTTTTTCTTTTACAAGGAAAACCCTCCGACCCCTCCCTGGGCAATCTGTCTTTAGGCTGGCTGGCGTGGGGCCTTACTGCTGGTTCCAATTTGCTTTTTTGGGTACCCAAGTAAACCTTACTGGCCAAAACTTTAGAGATTTTCCAGCTGGAGACCTTTGGATCTGTAAAACTATTTTCTTCAGAAGCAGTTTTTCTTTAGGGCTGTCTTCCCCAGAGGCTTGTAGAGCTGTGAGGCTATAAGTTCCCCAGCCAGAGCTTTGAGAACTGTCTTCCCCAGAAGCTTTGGGACTATTTTCCCCCGGAGCTTTGTAAGAAACGGAGCTTCTCTACAGGTGGGGAAAGCTCTCACGTCCTGTAACTGAGCTTCTGAACTGTAAGACTGCACTAAAAACTTTCTTTTCCCTCCCAGAACCCTGGGGAAAGGGGCGGAACTAAAGAACTTAACGATGATAGGCAGGTGGCTGGCCCTATGGCTGCAGCCTGGAAGGAACCACCCAACTGCAAAATGCATGGCCAAAACAAACACATGCATAGAAAGGAAATTTAGGCTTCTGGTACAGCTGTACCAGCACAGGTATGCATGCCATAGCGGCTTTGCATGCCCAGATTCAGCATTGTTTGGGTTCATAGTGCCCTTTGGATGTACGTAGGTTAACTACAACTCCTCTAAATCCCTCAAAAGACCTCCAGTATTTTTTCTTGGTCATGGGGGTTCTGTGTTGCAGGTTAGTTCCAGGTCCATCGTTGGAGTTCAGAATGCTCTTAGTGTGCAGGTGGACTATACGTCCCAGGATCTACAACTCCTATTGAAGCAGGCTTTTTCCTTCCCCTGAGCAATTGCTCAGGAGCTCAGCCAAAAATGCTCCGTTTCAGTTCAGTTGCGGACGCAGATGAGTCAGGAAAAACAGCCAACTGGGTTCAGCAAGAATATCAAAGTTTATTTATTTATATAGCAGCTGCTAGTTGACTTTCCGACGCAACAAGGCGTCTCTGGGGGAAGTCACCCAGCACAAAGGGTTAGGGTTTCTTTTATACATACAAAGGGGTTCGGCCTTAAGAGCCGCCCCAAAGATTAAATCATTGGTTAAAAGAGCTGTCAATCTTATATTTATGTTAAGCAATTAGATCATATATTTTTAAGTTTCGTTTCCCAATAAGCAAACCCCTTTTTGGAAACATCTCAAGATGCTGAATACAGCTGGAGACAGCTGCTTATTTGGCGAGTTCCTCTTTGCAAGGTCAGCATGTCTCTTGACCGATACTTCACCCTTGCACAAAAAACTTCTCTTTGGCACCAAAACCCGTCTTTGTTTCCCATATATGGTCAAGTCCATATCCGTTCTCCTTTCTACATGCAGACTCCGGCACTTTGTAAAACTAAAGCTATATTTTCTGAAGAGCCTACAGAACAAAATTGAGGGGTATTTGCCATCACAACTATTAGGTCTATTGATCTGTAAAAATATGGGATCTGATTCTGCCTTACTATAAATCATGGTGAATTATCCCCAAACCTCTCTAGCATGTTCAGTTGCTGATGAATTCATGTGTTTGCTGTGTGCCATAGAAAAAAAATAGGAAAGGTTAAGGGAGAGGAAGTGGACAGGGTCATGCAGATTCTATGCCGGGGGTCCTCAAACTAAGGCCCGAGGACCAGATATGGCCCTCCAAGGTCATTTACCCGGCCCTCGCTCAGGGTTAACCTAAATCTGAAATGACTTGAAAGCACACAACAACAACAATCCTATCTCATCAGCCAAAAGCAGCTCCATACTTCCCATACTACTAATAAATATATAGTTGTTAAAATTGCTCTTCATTTTAATTATTGTATTTTTAAGTGTTTTTGCACTACAAATAAGATATGTGCAGTGTGCATAGGAATTCATTCATGTTTTTTTCAAATTATAATCCGGCTCTCCAACAGTTTGAGGGACTGTGACCTGGCCCTCTGTTTAAAAAGTTTGAGGACCCCTGTTCTATACCATGGAGTTAGAAACACTGGGATGTGTGTGGTGGAGGAAATATTAAATCTAGGGTGAAATTGTCCCCGTATGAAAGCCTTCACTTGGGTGGTGGGCGATATGGTGTTTGTGGAGGACATAAGCAGGGCTCTTGCAATGTCATTGGATGCCTTTCGTGTCTCCCTAGTCGTGGGAGCTATAGTTGTTTGTGGAGACAGGAGCCTGTCTGTGTGAGTGGATACTCCATCTATCCATCCATTAATCTTTTCACTTTTATTATGTGTATTAGGTTTCCATAATACAAAAGTTCTTTATACTTCCTTCTTTGCTTCCATGTTGGGCTTCTTCCTCGTGCAGATAAATAGCTTCACTCTCACAGAGGCTTCTCTCACAAACTAAGGCCTACCTCACACTGTGAGGCCTTCTCATAGACTGAGATCTTTCTCCTACTGAAGTTTATCTCAGACTAATGGCTAGTATGCTACAGCCACACCTGCTTATATTGAACTGCAGCTTTTGCCGAGTCATTGCATCCATTTAACCCTTTCAGTGCTTGACTCACATTTTTGTAATTAACAATATCTAGGTTTTTTTTTAATGGGTTGTTGTAGATTTTTTCGGGCTATATGGCCATGTTCTAGAGGCATTCTCTCCTGATGTTTCTCTGCATCTGTGGCAAGCATCCTCAGAGGTAGTGAGGTCTGTTGGAACTAGGAAAATGGGTCTATATATCTGTGGAATGACCAGGGAGCTAGGTGTGAATGTTTCAATTGACCACCTTGATTAGCATTTGATGGCCTGGCAGTGCCTGGGGGAATCTTTTGTTGAGAGGTGATTAGATGTCCCTCATTGTTTTCCCCCTGTTGTTTTGCTGTTTTAATTTTACAGTTTTAAATAATATTTTTAAAAATATTTCTGACATATAGATATATGTAATCATACTCATTTGTCTTTGTCTCTTTACTTTCTCTTTGTGTTTTCATAATGAAAGATGCCAACGTGAAGCGTTACCTGCAGCTTACGGAATCCCAGCTGAGCAGCTACCATCAAAAGGAAAAACAAGTGTATATGGGGATGTTTGGGAAGAGGTGATGGATTCCCCTTGGGAGCATCTATAGACGCAACAGAGTGCCCAGTTTCTGATGCTTCTCTACATATGTAGTTTTTGGATTTTGAAGATATGCAGTGCCTTGAGAAATATGTGTTTAATGACCAATGTAACATTTGAAAGAGATGAACTTCTGTTATCTGTTTTGATGAAACAGATTGTGGATAAATGGCGACACCCTGAATTTGATTCTTTCCTTCTACGGCAGATGAAGGCTGTGATCTGTTTTCATGCTTCCCCACAACTTGTCGGTCCATAAAATAGCATTATGAGTTAAAATGTGCATTTGTAATTTTTGAAAAAAAGCAAGACATGAGTTGCAATTTCGTTCAGTCCCTTGGCCTTTAATTTATGGTTCGTCTTCCTCTGAATGTTTGTTTTTGAGTGACGCCTGGACATCTTCCATGTGCTCCTTCCTATAAGGCAGTGTTTCTCAACCTGGAGGTTGATGCGGGGTGTCATGGAGGGTCTGTGTGAGAAGTCTGACCCAATTCTATCATTGGTGGGGTTCAGAATGCTCTTTGTAGGTGAACTACACATCCCAGCATCTACAACTCCTAAATGTCAAGGTCTATTTTCCCGAAACTCCACCAGTGTTCACATTTGGGCATATTACGTATTCATGTCAAGTTTACTCCAGATCCATCATTGTTTGACTCCACAAAGCTCTCTGGATGTAAGTGGAACTACAACTCCCAAACTGTGGCACATTTGTCTAGGCCGAAAGAGCATTCTAAACTCTACCAATGATGGAATTGAACCAAACTTGGTACCTACAACCAACAGAAAATACTGGAAGGGTTTGGTGGGCCTTGGTGGGCCCACCAAACCCTTCCAGTATTTTCTGTTGGTTGTAGGTACCAAGTTTGGTTCAATTCCATCATTGGTAGAGTTTAGAATGCTCTTTGATTGTAGGTGAACTATAAATCCCAGCAACCACAACTCCCAAATGACAAAATCAGCCCCCTCCCAACCCCACTATTTGGAATTTGTGCCAAGTCATGGCATTAGGAAGGTTAAGAAATACTGCCATACAGCAAGGTGGCTCTGCAGTACCCTGTTCTTTTTTCTGTGCCCTTGTTGTCCTAGCAACAATTGCTGGACCTTTCCTGGGAATTGTTCCCATAGCAACAGAGTGTTATGATGTCGGCTGGACTTTGCAGGTCTATGTGAAGTCCTTACTCCAGTCATGCACTTGGCAACGTGGTCCGCATAAGAAAGCTTGAGGTGTGCATATACTATTGCATGCATGCACTGCAATAATATTCACATACAAGCATCTATAATGGGCATGCATTTTCTTTGAGGCTCTTTCTTTCCTTCCTCTTTTCCTTCCTAATAATAATAATAATAATAATAACAACAACAACACAGCCAGAACCTTCAACACTGACATCAGTATGGAGTTCGGCCTAAACAGATGTGCCACAGTGGCATTAAAGGGAAAATTACTCACAACGAGGGCATAGACATGCCAAACGGACAAACCATAAAATGCAACTAGCCTGAAGCCTATAAATATCTGGGCATACTACAGTTGGACATCATCAAGCATGGGCAGGCATGTAGCCGGGGGGGGGGGGGGGCTTGAGGGGCTTCAGCCCCCCCGAAATTCTCATGGTGGTTCGCGAAAAGGCCTTACTGGTGCATTATTTAAACTGTTATGTTTATTCATATCATGATATGATCACCATACTCAATATATCCCATATGCATGGGGGTATTGGGGTAATGATACAAAAGGTTTGCTAGGCTAGACCCTCTTTCACTCAGACCCCCCCCCCCCCCCCCAGCCCCCCCCCCCGAAACGAAATCCTGGCTACAGGCCTGAGCATGGGCATGTGAAAAATGTGGTCAGCAAAGAATATATCCAAAGAATCAGAAAGGTTTTAAAGAGCAAATTAAATGGTGGAAATACAATCAAGGCTCTCAACACCTGGGCCATCCCCGTCATTAGATACACTGCTGGGATTGTGAACTGGACGCAAGCAGAGCTGGATGATCTGGACAGAAAAACAAGAAAACTGATGACTCCTGACACCCACGTAGTGATGTCGACAGACTTGACCTGCCCAGAAAATCAGGAGGCAGAGAGAGGTCTTCTGCAAGTGAAACAAATGGCAGAAGAAGAAAAACATGCCCTGGCAGATGATGGGAAAGGCAGTCAAGAACCAACATTGAGGGAAGTCAATAGTAGTAAACTGCTTAAAGTGCAAAAGACAAAGAGTGAATATTGTAAAAACACAATCCAGAGCAGAAGAGAAAACTGGCAAAAGAAGGCTCTCCATGGACAGGTCCTGGGAAAAATTGAGAGCCAAATTGACAAAAAAAAAACATGGCTGTGGCTCACAAATGGGACTCTGAAAAAGGAGACAAAGGAGGACCTGATTCTGGCAGCCCAAGAAGAAGCCATTAGACCAAATGACATCAAAGCCAGAATTGAAAAGTTTTCCCAGGAACTGTCCATGAAGAGCCTTCTTTTGCCAGTTTTCTCTTCTGCTCTGGATTGTGTTTTTACAATATTCACTCTTTGTCTTTTGCATACCGCAGGGACGCGGCCACTGCCATTTTTGAGCTCCCCCCACCATATGTAGCAACCACAGATTCTCCAATCCGGATTGGAAGTTTCAGTACCCACTCTATAAGACGACTCCCATGTATAAGACGACCCCTGACTTTTGAGAAGATTTTCTTGGGTTAAAAAGTAGTCTTATACACCAGAATATACGATATTCTGGGACCTCCGAATTCAGACAGACAGAGCACAACACTCCTGACCTCATGATCATGCTAAAAAAACAAAGTATGGATTGTCGATGTTGCCACCCCAGGTGACATCAGGATTGAAGAGAAACAACTGGAAAAGCTGACACGATATGAGCATTTAAAGATTGAACTGCAAGCCAGTAAAGGTGGTCCCAGTGGTGATCGGCACACTGGGTGCAGTGCCTAAAGACCTTGGCCTGCACTTAAACACAATCGGCACTGACAAAATTATCACCTGCCAGCTGCAGCAGGCCACCTTACTGGGATCTGCATGCATTATTTGCCGATACATCACACAGTACTAGACACTTGGGAAGTGTCCGACTTGTGATCCAATATTACAGCCAGCAGAGTGTCTGCTGTGGATTCATCTTGTGGTGTTTCTAATAATAGTAGTAGTAGTAGTAGTAGTAGTAATAATAATAATAATGGGAAGTGTCCGACGTGTGATCCAATACAACAGCCAACAGAGTGATCTTGTGTGCTGTGGACTCATCTTGTTGTGTTTAATAATAATAATAATAATAATAATAATAATAATAATAATAATAATAATAATGTTCTTTGCTTTTAGTCTGTTTAAGAGAGAAAAAGAGGTACAAGGGGCGTTCATGAAAGATTTCTCCTGACCCCCTTTCTGTGGACTGAGAACAGTGAAACTTGGTCCAGTTCTGAGTCCTTCTCCCCATTGGTGCCACCCAGGGACACACACTTCTCCCATCTTTTGAAGCAACCATCAACACCTTGCTTGTAGAAGTCGACAGGTTGCTCCACAAGCCATGTTGTGACTTCAGAAATCAGACTCTCATCATCTGAGAAATGCTTGCCCTTCCAAAATAACTTCCTTATTGGAAAGAGGTGGAAGTCCGATGGTGCGAGGTCAGGTGAAGAAGGGGGATGCGGGAGAATTTCAAAGCCCCACGAGCATGCTTCTTCCATTTGGGCAACAGATGAGTTGTGAATTGGTCCATTGTCTTGCAGAAGGCAAGCATGCTACATCGTCTCTTGGTTTGGATGGCCTCCCACCATTTCCGCAGCAGTGAAGCATCGTATGCCCCAGGGATCATAGTCCCCTTTGCTAGGAAATCCATCAATCCGACTCCGTTCTGGTCCCAAAATACTGTGAGCAGGACCTTGCTTGCCGAGAGTTGGGCACGTGCCTTCTTTGGAGGCAGTGAGTCAGGATGCTTCCATTGCATTGACTGGACTTGAGTCTCAGGATCCTAGTGATGGACCCAGCTTTCATCCTGTGTGGACAGTCTGTTGAAAAAGTCCTTCTGGTTTTCCTGGCACATCATTGTAAAAAGAACCTGAGAGCATTTGACTCATTCCTGCTTCTGGAAAGGTGTGAGCAGCCGGGGCACCCAGCGAGCGGATACCTTATACAGGGGAAGATGGTCTTGGGGGAAATTTTCCACGTACCCCATACTCTTCTTGACATCTTGGGATAGGTGGCAAATGGTTACGTGGCGATGTTCCAAAATGGCAACCTCCACTTGCTGGATAGTCTATTCATCAATAGCAGAGTGGGGTCACTCTGGAATTGGAGCTGTTTGCACCGAATTCCGACCACATTGGAAGTGCAGATGCCAGTTCTTGACTCGATCATATGACGGGAAATCTTCACCATGGACCTGTTTCATCTCACTGAACCTCTCCTTTGGTATGCGGCCAAATTTGAGGACTGCTCTGTCTTACACTGGGTCCATTCTCAAACCTCACACCACTTCAGCCCCTGTAAGATCAAGCCGTTCTCAGTTCTGAGTTGTCAATTGGCACGTAGCCTATAAAGACTGATATCATTACACATGGGCAGTTTCAGTGTCCTGTGATAAATCGAAGTGGGTCAGGGGGAATCTTTAATGAACGCCCCTCATATATGAATAATAATAACTATAATAACATTAATTGCTTTGAGCAGGGCCATAGCCAGAAAAAAATTTCGGGGAGGGTTGAAAATTTCAGATGGGGGAGGGGTTTGAAAATTTAGGGGGGGGGGGTTGAAGCCTGCCTCCTAGCTCATGCTGAAGCAAAGAGGGCAGAGCAGGGGGCAGAGACCCTTCAATAGCCTGCAGCTCCGCCCCTGTCAACCACCTCCACCAAGTCTGGCCTCCTTAATGAGAGCATTCAACACCCCCCCCCCAACTTGGTTGCTTCACTACATCGGCTATTGCTGCAAGTAATGACAGTGTGAATAAATTGTCAATATTTGCTTGAGATGGTGCTTGCAGTTCTGGAGGGACTCTTAATTTTTTGCGTCTCATAGACTTAGCATGGGGATTTGGTTAACCAGTTAAAATTCATGAATAAACCAGACTTTTTTTAACCTGAAAATTTTTTTGGGGGGTTGAACCCCTATCCCCCCCCCCCCGGGCTACAGGCCTGGCTTTGAGCCCCCGGTGGCGCAGTGGGTTAAAGCCCTGTGCCAGCAGGACTGAAGATCGACAGGTCGCAGGTTCGAATCCGGGGAGAGGCGGATGAGCTCCCTCTGTCAGCTCAGCTCCCCAAGCGGG